TGTTTTTTTAACCTTAAACCGCATAAACACATTTCATTACACCAAATAATGTTCTTTTTAGCAACACCATATGACCATCATATGACCCCTTTAAACTTTTTGTGTAAAACATGACAATTTTTTTTCAGGAATCTTTGATGAATAGAAAATGCAAAAGAGCAGCATTTATATTTAATGTGCCCCATTATGGATTTTTGAAAATTACCTTTCAGGCAGTGTGTAACATAGCTGTATGTGAATGGAAAAAGTCTGCAAAATTGTAAAGCTGAAAGTGCATCATAGTTATTGCCTCTTAAAAGAAAGAGTCGACTCTGATCGCTTAAACGAGTCGTTTAAAATTTGAATCCCATTTCCGTGAAGTTCACACGTCACAAGTTACCATATTTGCATAATGCCCGCCTACACTCTGCATGGACGTCCCAAAAACTTGGACCCCCCTCAAACGCTGTAACTCGTTCGTGTGGATAACAAAGTCGACAAGACGCTGCGCTCTGTGCTGTGGAAGTAAATTCAGTTTATTTTCACTTTCAAAGGATGAGGCTGTGAAGAATCATTGGTTAAAATTCATCCTTACTACGATACCACAGCAGTATAATCCCAAACAATTATTTGCAAATGACATAGTTACCTTGAACTTTAGAAACTATTGTCTTCTCAATTATGGTTGGCAGAGTAGTCTTATCCATGTTCTCCGATTCCTCATAACCCTGACCGTGACAGAACCTCTCAACAGCAGAATACCACGGCAACGCCTCAAAGTCTTCACCTGCCTACAGGAAAAAACATACAGTGAAATACATTTAGATATAGTAGTAATCATAAAGATTGAGTGTTGAGAAGTTGACGATAGACAGATATAAAAATGAAAGGCTGAACATTATAAAAGGTCTTTAAAATGAAATGGACTGATGATCCACTGATGTAAAACAAATCTGAAGAGGGAATGAGAGTTCTGGAAATAAGGGCTATTCAACGAAACAATTTTTGTATATGAAAACATATTTATTCATTTAAATGGTCATTTGGTTTTAGGACTGTCATGATATCAGATTTTCATTACATGATTATCATGACCACAGTTCACAATATTATTGCAATATCTATAGAAATGATGACTTATATAATGCTATCAGTCAAATTCCTCAAACCTTTTGTGTTTTCTGTTTTTTTGGTCAACCACACACAGTACTGTACAAGGTTGGCGGAGAGAGTATTTGTAACCATAACTGAACAAAAGTGTAGGAAAAGAACTTGCTCTTGAAAAGAAAACCTTTAAAGAAAACTCCAACACTACTGAGGTAACATTTGTTTTCGGGTGTGGCCAGTGTCTTGCTTTTGCCTGTTATCTCCGATGACATTATTCTGTGCGGCAGTAGTAGCTACACACTGTATCAGCATAGTCTTTTTTTTTTTGGCAAGCAGAATTAGGGAGCAGCACATCCACCTATTATGTTGGACTGTCAGCCAGTTACTGGCACTGAAATATTTATGGTATTTTGGTATGTATATTATTAACAATATTTACTTTTGTTCATTTGTCAGACATTAAATATTTGTAATATTTGACACTGAGCATACTTAATAATCACCGTCTTAAAAATTGCTGTAAGAAAACTCCAACACTACTGAGGTAACATTTGTTTTCGGGTGTGGCCAGTGTCTTGCTTTTGCCTGTTATCTCCGATGACATTATTCTGTGCGGCAGTAGTAGCTACACACTGTATCAGCATAGTCTTTTTTTTTTTTGGCAAGCAGAATTAGGGAGCAGCACATCCACCTATTATGTTGGACTGTCAGCCAGTTACTGGCACTGAAATATTTATGGTATTTTTGTATGTATATTATTAACAATATTTACTTTTGTTAATTTGTCAGACATTAAATATTTGTAATATTTGACACTGAGCATAGTTAATAATCACCGTCTTAAAAATTGCTGTCAAATTCTGAATTTGGCCTGATCCACAGATCCTGATGGAAATCTAAAAGACCAAACCTCTAAAAAAAAGGAGTTTCAGTTTTTGGTCATTTCCAGATCAATTTGTAGCACATCCAAATCAATGCAGTACAAAATGATCTAATGGAACAGCAAAATTACCATGAATTCAGATACAATATATTGTAGACAAGCCACTGATCACCTGAAGAGGATTCCAGTCAATCAGCTGGTGTCGAATCAGAGGTGCCAGGAGTTTTGGGATGCACAGGCCAATATAGGCATTACTGTAAGAGTCTTGAAAGGAGACGCGCCACTCATCAAATCTGGAGAGGATTTTCTTCACGTCCCAGAAGTCTGTTTGAACATCTGCAAACACTTCCTGTGCCTTTTTTAGTAGATCATCTGAAAGTGAAGTTATAGATGCAGTGACATACTTCACATGGACTCTAAACACAAGTATTGTCTACACTCTTTTTCTTTTAAGACAACACTGTTTAAAAATAATTGTATTTGTGCTTCCATGAAGCTTCTCACACCTCTTTTACTTTGTAGCTCCACCTGCTGCTCAGCCGTTGGTTCCCAGTCACACGGTACACACCCAATTTCTTCTTCAGACAAGCTAGGACATGAAAATGCATAGGGAATTGAACAACTGATGATAAATGACTTTGACAACTGTAATTTACAGATTATAAGCATCTCAGAAAGCCTCCAAAGGCTGCAATCTATAGAGTTTCATAATGTCAGGCTTAGTGTATCCAGGATTTACAGCAATAACAGTCAGAAATGATGAAAGTGCAAACATAATAATCCATCTCACCTCTGCCAAATTGGGTTAGAACCTCCGGTTGTGTCACCATTGCTGTGTGAATCAGTGTTATCTATGAGACAGCCGCAATATACAATATTATATGAATGAATGTGCATTCAGTCCTGTGATAGACAGAAGTCAAATCATTATAATCATATGAGTGGGCATAAGATGTGAAGCATCCTCTACAAATTATTACATACTAAAAGGCAGTATTCAGTTGTAATCTTACAGGTTAATTTCTGAATCTGTGAGGACTCCTCTTGTAGTGCTTCTCTTCTCTGACTCAACAGCACCTCTGCCTGGTCAAAATAGAGACTGTGCATGTCCAGCTCAACTGAGTTTATTAAAGCCATCTGAAAAATAAAGCATACCACCACTACTTTATAAACTGTATATAGTTATATTAAATTACGTACATGGTTAATTTAGCAAAGATTAACCTTCTTAGACAGGCATTCCAGTAGGTTCCGTGAGAACACATTCATGGTACTGTAGAACCGGAGCTGCTCTTCTGTGGTATAGTTTTCGAGGCTCTCCAATGAGCTCTTGGCCATTTCCATATCCAGCTGCATCCTCCTTAGCTCCGCCTCCCGCACCCTGTGCACCTCCCTCAGTGAATCTAATTTGGAGCAAAATATATATATTTTTATTATTTTATTTATATATATATAATGGGGCAATAATAATTGGTTCAAATAAAGTATCAAAACCAAGTAATTACATATTGTTAAAATACATAATGTAATATGCCTATACATAATATGAACATAACCAACTTAATTACAGTATGTATTATAACAAATACCTCCAGAGGGCGCCAACAGCCTGTGATGTTTCACTTTACAGCGTGATTCAAATCCTTGCTTGATATTTTGAACATTTTATATGGACAACAAATCGCATATTTAGAAATAACAACCCAAACACACAGCATATGCAGAGGAAGAGTTTGTCGACCGAGATGGAGACGTGCTCCACGCTTGTAAATGATAACAGTGCAACACAAAGCGCGTCAGACTTTATATGCGTTCCCAAATGCACGTGACTGGAGACCCAAACAAATAGCACATGCAATAAAAGACCGAACAATATAATGCAAGCACTATCAAAGTGTGTGTACATTAATGAGGAAAAAAAATTTACTTAAATGATTTTAGCAAATGGCTGCAATATAACAAAGAGTGAAAAATTTAAGGGGGTCTGAATACTTTACGTACCCACTGTATATATATATATAAACTATAAAATGAATGCATTCCTGCAGCTCTGCAGCTTACTTTGCAATGATTCTCTTCTTAATGACATCAATACTGACTGGTGGAAGTGTTTCGGGGATGTCCATTTTCTTCTGTCGGGCTGGTCTAGGAGCCTGCCATTCCTTCTGAGAATACAGGGAAAGGTCCTTGAAACACTATGGGAGCAGTGTGTAATAAAAAGCAGTTTAAAAGCTCAAGGAGAATAACTGAGCCTTCATGTCACAGTGGAGGGTCTCACTTGGTGTCTTTTGACTCCTTTTCCTATCTGCTGTTCTTCCCACATCTGCTGGTCTTCCTCCTCCTGGCTATCAGAAAAACTCTCATCACTATCACTCCCTACAGAACACAAACACAGAACATACAGAACATGTCATCTATCTCCCAACTACTTAGTGTCTTAATATACACAAGTAGCATCACAGTTTCTCACCCATCTTCTCAGCCATTCGCTCTCTCAGAGTCTTGGGTTTGGGTGCAAACTCGATTCTGCGCTCATGATCGTCCAGCTCATTGTCACTGTTTTGTTCTCCGCTGCTCGGACCTTCTTCCTGAAGGCTTCCAGGAGTGTGGGGTGAATCCAGCGAGATGTAATCTTGCTGGGCTCTGGCTTGTCTCCTTTTCTCTTTGGCAGCACAAATCTTTCTAGCATCAGGAATGATGACTGCAGCACTGGACAAATAATGACATTAACAACCAGACTTAAATGTTAATGAGTAAATAATGACAATTTTTATACTTTACTAATTTATACTTTTTATACGTTTTTTACTATTGCTTTAACTCTCTGGTCTTTGGTCATTTTAGATCGAAAAATCTAACGTTATGAAATTTATACTAGTGTTGTCAAATGATTAATCACATCCAAAAATAAAAGTTTTTGTTTACATAATATATGTGTG